TTTAAGATGCCACTGGTAAAGGGTTTAGAGACGCTAATCACGAATTTACTTCAAATTAAAACCTGATTAGTTTACAACTGTCGAAGGGGCTATCAACTTCTCTAGAAATAAGGAAAATTTCCAAAGAATTAAACATAACCTCTTTTAAGGCTCACTGATCTTGAGTTCTGGAACATATTCCAACTTTTTCGTTTGACAACTGCCAAGTAAACTGTAATTTTCAGTTAAGTAGCACAATATAGGGAACATATCTAAAACGAATTTATGACCAAATTATGAAGTAATAACAGTAATTATATTTATAAATTGGGGATAGTTGCTATATTTTCAGCCCAAACAATTTGATTTAGGCCCCAACAGTTTTTCTAAGATTGTTTTATTTTATACGAAATTCATTTCCAAAACTTTAGTTTTCTCATTTTAAAACAAAGTTATCCAGGTTCGAGTTTTTGGAAATTTCGGACGCCATATTGGAGTTTGCACTTTGAATTTTCAAAAGCTAGTTAGAAATTTGTACTGGCGAACTTACGAACCTCTAAATATCAAATTTCTAATTCTTGGATTTTTGAAAATTGACTTCAGCTTTGTTAAGACATATCTTATAAATGATACGATGCTAAATATAGATTAAATTACATTATTCTTTTATATTTTAATACACTTGATGTTATTTGGAACAATTGCTAATGTAAAAATGGCCGCAACTCTTTTTGGCGCGAGTATGCTCGGCTTTTCTTTTCGTAGATCCTTAAAGGGCCCTTTGCATTAATTTTTTGGTAAAGGAATGAAGATCCTACTCGGCTCTACAAATTAGTTATACTTACCTTTTTGAAGAAAATATTTCTTGAAATATAAGCCGTCTTATTAAGGTGTTGTTAATCTAGAAACCAAGTTTTATTATGTAATATTTCATATGAAATCGCCACTATCCGTGTTTAAGAAGTAACACCAAACCATCAATTACTGTTATAATTGAAAGTTTGCATTAAAAAAAACTTGTTAGGAAAGCTATCAACAACTCATAACTGTTAAAACGTCCCACGATCGAATTCGTTGAATTAAATGGATTCAACGGCTTGTTCAGCAGATATTATCGAAAATAATAATCAGTTTTGAGTTTGTTGGATATTTCTGAATAAGAATAGCTTTGTTCCGGTTAATTTATCACAGTTATAAAATATGCCTTTTTCGCGTAAAACATGCCGTCTCCGACCACTGTGGGTCGTTGGTGTTTTTATTTATTTGTGTACATATTTCACACAAATTAAAAATAATGCTCATTAGGAATTGCAATTTGTGTAATGTTTCCCTTTACAGTTCCATGTAATAATGTTAATGCAATAGTAGCGCCATTCGCCTACATTAAATCGCATAATGAGATAAGATAATTTGCTTTAAGCAATAAATTAAAATTATAATTACTGTTTCAAATTACACACATAAATATGTATCGCATACTGCATAGCATCGTATTACTGCAATTTATTAACTACATTCGTTTTTTGTGCTCTAACTAAATGAGTTGAAATGAATGAACTGCTCTATATTTACAATAACTTTGCAGATTATATATATATCTGTATGCACATATTTACGACACAACTAACCTCAAAAAAAATCCACATTTGAGTCTAGCATTTTCTATCGATTTTAAATCTCTCCGGAATACAAATTAGTTACAATCTTTTTGTAATGATCTAAAAATAAAAAAAATAAGTGTTATTTTCGGTCCCTGCTGCAAACTGATTTACGAATTTTTGATAGAAGAAAATTTCTCTTCCATTTCTTGTGCATCATTTTATATGAAATTTAAGTTTTTCTTGAGAGCTGCAAACAGTCCGTTAGCGCAAGAGAAATAGGGTACCAAGTTTCGTGGAGTTATCTCAATTTTTACGCGAGATATCGTATACATAGACGGACGGGCAGACAGACATGGCTTAATGGGTTTCTCCATTCATTCTAAGCATTTTGGTACATACATAAGTGTTACCCTTGTTGTTGCGGGGCCTTCTTTTTGTGCAAATGTCACTTTACGTAGGATCCAACGGGCACATACAGCGTTTAGCGCGATACATTTTTTTTCGTAAATTATATATAAAAATCAGGGACGGAAAATAATCATTATTTTTTAAATTTTTACAAAAAAAACAATCAACAAGTTGTAATCGTCGTAAAACAATTTTATTTATACCCACGTATTTTTTTCGTACGTCCCACTGTAATTTACAATGATTTTTATTTTTCGAGTTTAACCAATAAAGGTAAAAAAAAATTATATTTGAGTTTTAATTTTTCGTTCAAAAGCAATTCTTATTACGNGTCCCACTGTAATTTACAATGATTTTTATTTTTCGAGTTTAACCAATAAAGGTAAAAAAAAATTATATTTGAGTTTTAATTTTTCGTTCAAAAGCAATTCTTATTACGTGATTTTTATTTTTTCGATCAAAAATAATGATTATTTTATGATTTTTATTATTTCGCTCAAAGATAATAATTATTATTGAGTGTTATTTTTTTCACTTGAGAATAACGATCAATTAAAAAAAAATCAAAAGCTATGTCAGCACGATTTCCGCCGTATCCTTTTCAGAGGGAGCGACACCCTAATAAAGGAATAAGCCTCAAAGTTTCAAGGTCAAAATTTCAGTAAGTTGTGTGTGTATAGCCTTTTAAATTTTATGAATAATCATTATTTTTAAGTGGTAAAATAAAAATCAATAATATTTATTATCTCTGAGCGAAAAAATAAGCGATCGAAAAAATAAAAATCAAATAATTATTATTTCAGCTGAGCAAAAAAAAAATATTATTGATTTGTAGACCATTCAATTTTAGTACAATAATGTGTAGGTTTGAAAATTCTAAAAAATCCCCTTGAATTTGGGGTTTTTTTTTTTGTCGATTTTCTTCCATATAACGCTTGACCAAAAATTTTTTTTCGATCAGTAGTTTGAGTATTGATTATCAACAAATCTAATTATCACGCATTTAATTTAATTTCCACTCGTCTAAATGTCCAATATCTTTATTTAATTTTAGTTGACAACAGCCACTCAATAGATATGTGCATATATGTACCACAGTGCCAACACACATGAGGAATGCAAATACCCATTGTCATTTTCGTCCACAATCGTGTATACTATCATTACCATCCTCAGTGCCCTCTTGTCTTCTAACTTCCGAATTTAGCTTTGTGTGGCTTTTTAAAATTCCAAAGGCGTTGCATTTTTTTTTTTTTTGTTAACAGTCTTATACATACATACATACATATTTGGTTGATGCATACCAAGTTACTGCGAATACTGAACCAAAAAAGCTGTACCGACATCGTGTTTGCCAAGCTCTTCAAATTCAATTCGCATACGAAATTCGCCTCAAAATGTTTACAATTTCAATTCGTCAGTTGCATTATGCACGTCTCTAAGTCGTGTGTGTGGTATGTACGTTTGTTGATATTTACATTGGTATAAAATATTTACTTACAAATAATGAGGTTATCATAAATCATCTTAGCATTTTGATTAGCATAAAATAACAAAGTCACACGGAGGAGGCACACAAGCGAAACAAAACGAAGAATATTGACTGACAAAAATTTACATTTCATATTAAAATAAATTAAATGCTAAACGGAACTGGTCAAAGCGACGCGAATCGCTTAGAATTATTACTTAGTAGCAAAGCCCGGCTGACGTTTCCTGTGCAGCAAGAAAACCAATGAACGTTTATTTTCTAAAAACTTTTGTTTAAAGTCGAAGTTTGTGAGTGCCAGATGGGGAAAGGAAAAACTGATAGGGGCGAATACGTATTAGAAATTACAAATTGAGGCTTAAATATATTCAATACCCAGTGTTGCCAACTTTTGAGTTTCAAAAAGGACCAAAACTTCGAAAAGAAAAAAAATTTTGAATCAAAGGATACATTTTTCATATCAGTTTGTACCCTAGCACTACTGAAAAGCTATGTATGTATATATATGCAAATAATTTTGTATTTTTGATGGAATGCGGATGCTATACATACATACACTTCATTTAACAAACGCAGCATTATCTCATTTTCCGAAATTCACATCTTTTCCCTACTACGGCAATAACTA